AAAAAGTAAAACATTGACACGGACGACGGACAATCACTCATATGATAAGCTCCGCTCGACAAAGTCGACAGCGGAGCTAAAAAGGTCCCTCTAATACGAATGAACTGGGGGGGGGGGGGGGTATTCCACATCAGACCTGGTACTGATGCAATGGTAGTATAGCTTTTCAAAAAAGCCTATAAACACATACTTATTTTTGTGAAATCATACCCCTTTTTAAAGTGCAGAAACTTAAAATAGATAACCTATATACATACTAAAATCATACCGTTTCCAAGTTGAGGTAACATAAATTCATGAGATTCCTTTTTTCACAGGTTATTACTATATTACTAAGTTACATTCGGTACATGTGTATATGCGTCAGATAACTAAATAACACCCCTTTTAAGCGGGGGGGGGGGGGGGGTGAACACAATGGGTCTAGCCAATATGCAAACATATTTGTTTAGCTTTAATCTTAGCCCATATTATAGTGTAGTCTGTACAAAACTAATATACTGGTTTTACAAAATACAATTGATTTCTGCGATACAGTCAACAAAATCTTGAGTGTTATAGCCTCGCCAAAATAATACAAACTATAGAGAAAGATTTGAATATTTGTTTGAAGGAGTGGTTTTAATACCGATAAATAAATACTTAAAAATAAATACGTGGTTCTAAAATAATAACTGAACAGCCAGGAAATCAATACGAGACAAATGAAAGTCATCGGTTAGACACTAAAATGAAATACAAAAAAAATTTACTGTAAAATACTTTATTTTATTTTCGCTTGGAATAAATTTTTGATATTTTTGCTGAAGGATTGATTCAGTGAAAATAAAATCCAGCAAATAAACCTTTTTTCTTATATTTTACATTCAATTTGTCAAAAATAAGTGAAAGTATTAAAATTCCATACAAAACACTCAGTGAAAATTAATTTCAGCTAAAATAGAGTATTTTACAGTATTCTATTTTATGATATCAACACTCATCCTAAATTTTGCCCTGAAGGCTTAGAATTGATACTTGTTAAGTAAATGCTGTAACTGCTATGAGAGACAACCTTGTAAAACTTCACCAGTTCCAGGAGAAGCATGAAATTTGAAACTGACAGTTAAAATTTCACTGGAATCAGTTAGACAGGAAGTCATAGTGAAGTCACAGCGAATGCCCCTGAGGTACAACATGTACATTACTCCACATACTAACTTTCTTTATATCATACAAACAGATATAGAAAAAAAACACATTTACAATTAACTATTAAGAGCAAGCACCTGACATTGGCATCAATTGCACAGTGTTAACAACGACAACAGGGAACACATGTCAAACATGACAGTCATGGTCATGGTCAAATAGACAGGGTGTCTCTTGTAGTCTTGTCAATACATGCAATTAGAATGGTTCATTTTGTTATCAAATGGCAAATCCAATAGATTACTCATCATTATTAGCTACAATTGAGAACAGGGTTAATAGGTCACATAAAGCAAGTGAGGTAAGTCCACTAAGTTGGCATGGTGGATGTTGCATCAGGAAAAAAAAAATCAGACAGCAATTTAGATAAAAGTAAAAATATTACACTATTTTATCTCGACCTGACAAAAAATTGTGATTAAAAATCAGCTCAATATTGTTTTGTGACTGAACTAGTAAATTTTATAAGTTTTCTCATGTTAATGATATTTACCCGATGATTAAATATGTGTTGTTACATGTGTGTGCAAATGACAGATGCATCTATGGTCAAAATACATTATTTTAATGATTTAGAATGCAATTCAAGTTTATGTGTGCTTCTACATACTAGATGAATAGAGCAAATACAGTACTGGTATGTTAAACAACAAGACATGGTAATTAAGGTTACACTGACATGTGACATAGTCAAACAAGTCCACTTCCTTTTAACAAACCAGTATTGGTCTACCCCT